TAGGACATATAATATGTTTTCCATCACCCTCTGGAAGGACTCTTGCAGCCCAAGAAACCAATTTAGCAGAGACTTCACTCAGTTTTAGGGGGAAAAAATTCCCGTCATCATCAGGTTTATTATTCCTAAATTTCTTGTTTATATTACCTGCGCCCTACTTTTAATGATCTGCCAACCACAACTTGTGAAGATTACGGAAAGGAAATAAGACTTCTAATTCAGCCTCACTTCCAGTTTTAATAATATCACTCCACTACCAATTTGCACAGATCCCTTTTAATCCAAAAACGTGATCGCATCTGCCACTTTGGTTCCAGTGACTGCATTCCGATTCATTTTTCTCTTTCCGTGTGTCTGCATTCTGACAAGCCCCAAATAAAATTTAACAAAAATGCTACACTACCTAGTTTTGCATACTTCGTGTACCAATTACTGATTGTTTCGATTTCAGGCATCAACGTAATAATAATAACAACAACAAAAAAGCTTTCTCCTAACCACGAGGCACCACAGAAAGGGTTGAGAGAGGAAATCAAATCTTAAAATCACTTCTGAACGGTCTGCTTTCTCTTTCCAATTTCTTCAAAAGCAGATGCAATTGTACAATGGCATTGCTGTATTTAGCCAGCTGCTCACAACAGCAGTGCCTAATACAACTCAAAAACAAAGCAAAATCAAACTATACACCGTTCAAATCCCCTGCAGAAGAAACATCCAAGTAGTTACAGATTTGTGCAACTGATAGAGAGGGCAAATACACAAACATTGTGTGATGGACTACATGAAGCGACAATTTCCCAGGAAATAGTCCAGAAAGGCAACACAATCTAAAACTGGATAGGAGACAGAGGAAGAGGGTTAGGATAGCCAATTCATAGAATCTCTCAGGATGTATCCATTTAGTCCGGCAAGATTCTGTCTACTGGATGTAAATAAATAAAAGACTGAACTTCGGCTGGATTTTCTTCGTCATTCTTGGGCTAAGCTTGACACATTCTGCTTCTTTTTATTTTTCTTTCCAATTTTCTTTCCCTTCTGTCCAACTCTGCAAAATGTTGGGAAGAAATTGTGTTAAGGGTCTCAGGGCTTCATCCATTTATTCAAAAGCAAGATTACTTTCTGAAAACTGAACCAAATTTGGCATGGAGGAAACTGTCAGCCAAAGAAATTTTGAGTTTCAAAATGGGCCTGATCCAAACAGGACTGTGGGGTGTATGTGTGTGAATCTCCAATGGATTTCTATAGTAGAGGCTGGACAGTAGCTCAGAATGTTGTCTATCTGTCCATTCTAAGTCCTGCCTTCGTATTGTTCCTAGTCATGTGACTTGTAGCCAAGTTTAAAGATGGGAAAGAATTCCAGAAGCTGAGTTCTATAAACTTTTTTTACCCATTCTACTCCAATCTCAAATTCCATGATAGGTAGAAGGAAAGACTAACTAAAATTTGCGAACCAAGCAATTAACATTCCCTTTGGTGTCTGTGGATTTAACTGTACTCTTTTCAAGTATTGATGTTTAAATATTTTCTTTCATAAACTCACTCAGGAATAATAAGAATTAAATTTAAGAAATTGAAAACAAAATGATATTTAACTGGGCAGTTTCCATTTTTGCCTTTAGCCTACATATTTTTGCATGCAAGAACGAAGGTCGCGTATTAATTCTGTTGCACGCAGGTTTTCAATTATATTAAATCTCAAAGGCAAAAAAGGTTTAGTAAAAAAGTAGATGACAGTGCAAGAAGTCTATTTTTCTTTCCTTCCAGCCTTTCAAAATGTGAGTTTACAGGTAGTCCTCATTTAGTGACAATTAGGACCAGCAAAATGGTCACTAAGAGAAACTGCAACTATGGTTATAATCTTGCTTCAGTTTTTTTTTACTTTACAGACCTACCAAGGTAAAAAATGTGGCAACTGGTCATAAAGTTACTTTTACATCACCATTATAACTGTGATTGTTAAGTGAGGCAGGCAATAACATGAGGATTGCCTGTATTTGCAAAACCTTTTCAATCTAATGAAGAGCACTAGGTGTGACATGATAGCAGTGTTCCAATATTTGAGGGGCTGTTAGGTCAACCTATTCTCCAAAGCTCCTAGAGGCAGAACAAGAAGCAATGGATGGAAACTAGTCAAGGAGAGAACCAACCTAAAATGAAGACAAAATTTCCTGTCAGCTAGAACAATTAATCAATGGAACAAGTTGTATCCAGAAATTGTGGTTGCTCCATCACTGGAGGCTTTTAAGAAGAGACTGGACAACCATTTGTCTGAAATGGCATAAGTCTCCTGCTTGAGCAGGGGGTTGGACTAGAAGATCTCTTAAGGTCCCTTCCAACTCTGTTATTCTGTTTGAGAAAGTGACAAAAGAATTCTAGAAGTACCACACAGGTCTTGAAAGATCACAGACAGATTGTAGCACACATACAGAACTCCCTACATGAGGTTTCAAGGACGTACAACAAAGTTTTAGATAAAGACAAAGGTTAGTGCTTTGATAACCACATCCATCTTAGCCTTCAGTTAAAAATAGGGGGCTGCTATTAACTCACACTGTGTTTCATCCTGCCAGGCATGTTTGCCAATAAAGTTGAATTCAATTATTAGTAGAGATTAGTTCCTATACCTTTCCACTTCTGAACTTTAGCACCAGCAATTAAAATATAAAATAGCCCAGTCAAAACTAATCTTTGTTTTGGTCAAACTTTGAAAGAGCTTCCATATCATGGGCCAATATTATTTTTCTAAAGAACAACAGAGCCCTCTAGTGGCGACCAAAAAAAATCTACAAAAATGGACCAGGACCACCAAATATACACATTAACAGCATTTTTATGCTGCTTTTCTATGCAACAGAGCCAATAAAGAGGAGTAATAATACAAGTTTGTTTACCAAAAGATTAACATTTTAAAAATGTGTTTATAATAAGAAATTGAGATTGACCGTGTCACCTTGTTTACTGAAATACAAAAAAAAAAGTTGTTTTTCTTAACTTAGCTGCAGAAACACAAAAAGGACAGTGAAGATGTCTTTAGAAAATTAGAGGTGGTTTTAATACATGGCTTAGGAATGTTTTAGGGTAGACAATAAAACATGGCTATTAATTGCTGGACTGAACGTGTGAGGGTGGACAATTCCAGTGAATGCAGGAGACAAGACACGTGCCCCTGAAACCTTTTGGCATTAACACAACCACTTGTTTTATTCACACTATGAGTAATTGGTAATTATGGGAGACTAAGTACTAAGGAAGAAATATCCAGAAAGCAAAGGCTTTCTTAAACCCTAAACCAACCTGGAAAGCATTCTAGGAACCATTTTACCTGTCCTGGGGTGGAAGCACTGAGGACTTAAAAAACTGAAATAGCACTAGGTTAGAGAAAGTCAGTTTAAATAATCTAGAACAGTGATGACGAACCTTTTAGAGACCGAGTGCCCACGCTGCAACCCAAAACCCATTTATTTATCGCCGGGTGCCAGGTGGGCATGGCCCACTGGGTGGGCATGGCTGTGGTCATGGCAGACTGGGTGGGTATGGCAAGGTGGGCGTGGTCACCTTGATGTTGCTTATGGGGAGGGACGCCTGTAGAGGCCAGGCAGGTTTGGGGGAGATCCAGGGGGTCTCTGGCAGGTGGGGTGGTGAGCAGGAGGCTCGTCCTGTGGGCTGAGGCAAGGCAAGGCAAGGTAGGGTAGGGAGCCATTGTCACAGGGCAAGGCGAGGGAGGGGCCTGGGCAGCTGCTGCCTGACACCATCGGCCCCCGCACACAGAGGCCAGCGAGCGTGTGGGGCCAACAGTATCCGTCAGCAGCCATAGCCTGCTGGCCCCTCGACCGGCGCACTCTGGGGCTCCGCAGCCCACCGCCAGCAGTTCAGAGAAGCCGCCTCTGAGCTGGACGGCTGGACGACAGCTGAGGAGGCGATGTAGTGGGTCATGCCCAGGAAAAAGAGAGCATGTGAGGCCAAGAGGGATGGGACGGAGGGGGGAGGGAAACCAGCTGTGCTGGGATGCATCTGGCCATGTGGGACCTCGGCAAGTTAGTGGGCGGCTGGTTGAAGAGGGACGGTTGCCATCTCCGAGGCATGGTGCTTGTGCCCACAGAGAGGGCTCTGAGTGCCGCCTCTGGCACGCGTGCCATAGGTTGACCACCACTGATCTAGAACATTTCTTATTTAAAGACCAAGCAAGAACAAGATTCCCTGTGTGGGACAGTTCCTAGCCATCATTTCTTAGTAGAAAACCTTAATGAGGTAGAGCTCCTGGGTTGGTTTCCAAATGTTTCGTTCCCTAGCCTGATAACAAAACGTTCAGAAACTAGTCCACAAGCTCGGGGACAAACCTACATCCTCATCCTCCACCTGAGCTAAAGATATTTGCCATTCTGGCAAGACAACCTTACTTCTGCAATATCCCGGTGGCTTAGAAAGCTAGTAATTAAGAAAGTGAGTTCCCACGGAGATAAATTATCCTGGCATCTAAAGCTAAGTTGAAACTAATGATATTGTTTTCTTGAATAAAGTTTAGATTATCAGCCAGGAGAGGGCGGTATCCAGGTGGCCCGACAGGTTGCTTAAATGCAATTGTAGCAGCATTTACCATACCTATTAGCAGCTCCTGAAACAAACCTTATCTCTCCTTGGCCTTACAAGTGGGTGTATAACCAAGGCAAGCCTCTTTAATGTGCTACAGATAGACACAGCAAGCACACCTACTACACACCACATGAACAACATTCCAGGTTTGGATCCAACATGCATACATTGTATAAGACAGGGGTCTGCAAACTTGGCCACTTTAAGACTTGTGGACTTCAACTCCCAGAATTCCTCAGCCAGCCAGGGCTGGAGGAGGAATTCTGGGATTTGAAGTCCACAAGTCTTGAAGTTGCCAAGTTGGAAGACCGCCTGGTATAAGGGAAGGAGGGAGGGAAGAAGGGAAAAAGATCCAACACTCAATGCTGGTTGAATGCAACTCATTCAAGTTGATTGTAGCCTCGACTTACCTATTCCTGTATTTGCCCCTGTGATGATGATCACTTTGTCACTCAGGTCTCGGCCCTCTAAGACTTCCATTGCAGTGGTGTTGCCGTCATACTTCTGTTTCACGTTGGTTTTCATGGGATTATCTTCCACTGTGAATGCCATTCTGGGATCAAGGAATGTGGTCCTTTTGTTTATATGGCTTTGAAGTAAAACAAGAAGCGTATTTTCCATGTCAATCCCTCATTTTATTACAAGCACAATACACATCCATACATTAAATCAAAATGTAAACTCAGCCTTCAGGTAGTCGAGAGAGTCATTTCAATCAAACTGAAGATACCAGATTCTTTTTAAAGTTTCTTAATTCAGATAAGTATCGTAAAATTAAATGCTGAGAGTCTTTGATTCTACTGACTTTGCTTCAGTAAAGAGAGAACAACAGAATGGGAAGGAACCTCAGAGGTTCTCTAGTCCAACCCGCTGCTCCAGCAGGAAACCCTATACCACTTCAAACAAATGGCTGTCCAATCTCTTCTTTAAAAGCATTGGACCACCTGTAACTTCTGGAGGCAAGTCATTCCACTGATTAATTGTTCTAGCTGTCAGGAAAAGATCAGCTATCTAATTTAGATCTCTACAACAACTAGGTCAATGACAAGCATCTTGCAATTTTTCAGAAGAGGTCTTGCTATAAAAATGCAGTGTGAGTAAACAAAAATGATTAAAAATACAATGAGTTTCTGGAAGGAGAAACTCAAAAAAAAAAAAACACCCTTCATAGAGAGCTTCTAATCACATACCTCTTTTGCATGATCTAAAAATCCAGTTGTCAACCAACCTTGGTTAAATCAAAGCAACACAGGAATTACTTACATGAACACAAGTCTTCCTTTTGCTACGGCTCCTATGCTGAGCAACCTCTCAGAGTGTATGAAAATGTTTCTAAATTTCCAGCAGGACATCTCATTTCTTAAAGCTGTTTAACAAGTCAGCTTTAACATTGCAAAAACCAAAGCTTCTAATTTAAATAAAACTTAGGTGTGGCTTTGCGAGGTGTAGGATTAGATTATGTGGCAATAGCACTTTAGACTTACATACCGTTTCACAGTAGCTTTAAGCCCTCTCTAAGTGGTCTACAGAGTCAGCATTTTGCCCCCAACTGGGTCTTCTTTTTACCCACCTCAGAAGGATAGAAAGCTGAGTCAAATTTAAGCCCTGTCCAGATCGAACTCCTGGCAGTGGGCGCAGTTAGCTTGCAATAGTGCATTCTAATCACTGTGCCACTGTATGTAGAGAATATCAGGCAAAACAAATTCTTTCCTCGAATTCCTTTTTTTAAAAAAATATGCAAAATAGATCGTCTAAACCAGGGGTCCCCAACCCCCAATCCGTAGACTGTACTGGGCCGCGGCATGCCAGCAACTGGTCCGCACAAACACAGCCCCATCTGTGAGATGCAGGCAGCACATAACACCATGCACTCTCCGGTCTGCGGAAAAATCTTTCTCCACGGAACCGGTCCCTGGTGCCCAAAAGGTTGGGGATCTCTGGTCTAAACCAATAAAGGAGAATAATTGAAGCTCAGGGTTGAAATGAGGGGTCCATGGTGCTCTCTGAGCTTGATAACCTCCAAGAGCCTAAACATAATATATATTGTGGGGTCCCTGGTGCTCTTCTGAGCCTGGATGTTTTCTTGCAGACATTTCATTACTAACTAGGTAACATCACCAGTGCCTTGATGTTGTTACCTAATTGGGTAATGAAACGTTTGCAAGAAAACAGCCAATGTCAGAGTACCAAGGAACCCCCACAATTCTATCCTAAGCAACAAATATTCTCCTCTATTTGTATAATATATATCAGTGGTGGTGAATCTATGGCACAGGTGCCAGAGGCGACACTCAGAGCCCTCTCTGTGGGCACGCATGTCGTCGCCCCAGTCCTAGGCCTTCAGCTGGGTTTTATAAAACCTTTTCGCTTTAGGCCTCCGCCGCCCTGTACAAAAAAACAAAAGGTTCAATCAATCAGTCAATTTCAACTTCTCGTGGGAAAAAAAAGATCTTGCAAAGTTGGAATTGATTGATTAAACTTTTTAGTCCCACCCAGTCTGCCGTTACCACTGCAGCCACGCCCACCCAATGGGCCACGCCTACCTGCTACCCGACGATGCATAAGTGGGTTTTGGGTTGCAGTTTGGGCACTCGGTCTCTATAATATATAATATATATTATATATTATTTAAGTTTTTGGCCAGCCTTTGCCCAATACGAAAATGGAAAAATCTGGCTGTCTATTTATAATCTCTCCACTTTTAAAGGCCCATTTCCATAAAGTAAGGAAGAGGACTTATTTTGTGTCACTTCTAAGCTGTAGGATAACCTCCTTTAAAGGAACAGTTCACATTCACCCTTCCAGATTCTTTTATTTAAAAAAAGCATCAAGACACACTTAATTTTTTGCTTAGTCTTTGAAACTAGTGCTTCATCACTTTTAATATTTTTAAAGACTTGTCCTGGATTTCATGAGTGCATTGTTTTGCCTTGCCTTGCAACTTCTTAATCCTTCTTCACAGCAAGGCAGAAGTAATTAATAATTTCAGCATACACTGGCGAATCCCAGTATCTGTTATAAAAACAGACAGAAATATGCAAAAGGGCTGCACACTGACTTCATCTTAACAAAATGTATCAGCAGAGGATTTAATCAACAACAGACGCAACCTAATGGTGTTACATATATTTTCCTTGTTGTTACTTTTAATAGAAAGTAAACGCACATACTTTTAAGAGGATTTGTTTCTTGTCATTCTGTTACACTTCAAAAGTATCAGTTCACATTTCTTGGGGGAAAAAAGTAGTTTACATTCTTGTGTTGCTATTTAATTTACATGCATACATTGTGACTATTCTATAATTTTAAAAAAAATAAAACTTGACCTGTTGTACTAACAAACAGGGTAAACAGAATGTCTCCCTAGTAGTTGATACCTACTATTCTGGGAGTTGAAGTCCACAAGCCTTAAAGTTGCAAGTTTGAAGACCCCCGAGGGAGGCCCAGTCAGGAAATTGGTAACACAATCATTATAGGAATGCTGTTTGATTGTTGTAGGGCAGAATAACATAACTGTGAAAGGTTGCTAATATTTCTTTATTCCTTCTTATGCCAAACAGAATCAATGCAAGATTTTGAGGGGGGGGGGGTTTCCTCAGACTTTCTTGGGATAAGTTCTTATTTCTTCTCCTTTAATAGCCCTTACATTCCTTCATTATGGTTGTTTCATTCTCTACACCAGTGGTTCTCAACCTGTGGGTCAAGACCCCATTTGGGGTCGAACGACCATTTCACGGGGGTCGCCAAACAACACAGTCCGCCATTTTTTCCCCCTTTTCCTTAGCTGTGCTTCTCCCTTTTATTCTATTGGCTTTTGAAAGCCAATAGAATTAGACTCTATTCAAGAGAGTCTATTCTATTGGCTTTCAAAAGCCAATAGGAATTGTCCAGGCTGTCTCTGCCCTGCTGAGCTCGCCAAAAGTCCCATTCTGCAAATGGTGCTGCACCAGTTGAGTAGTCCTCGACTTATGACCGGTTGAGTAGTCCTCGACTTACGACCGGTTGGGGGTTGTGGCATTAAAAAGGTTGAGAACCACTGTTCTACACTAACACAATACAAATTTATTTGGAAGAGGATTTTTATTTGGGGAAGGGAACAGTTGTTTGCTGTAAAAAAAAAAAAAAAAACACCTTGAAGGCAGTAATAGGTTTTAAATGTAACTCTTCTGAAAATGTGAAGTATGAATTTTTAAAACATAGTATCTATTGGGGCAATTTAAAACATAAAAAACAAAGGAATGACTTCTCTGGAGAGTGTTTTCCTCTATTGCCCCTAGTAGATGGGGAAAAAAACCTAAAAACTTCTATTTCCCTACTGATTAATTCACCCCAAATGAGTTTTAACTAATTCTTAAATCTATGATAATGAATAAGTAGCTACTAATGATTGAAAGACAAATTCCTCTTGTGTTTTGCCAAGCAAGAGGAATTTAATGGCATAGAAGGATTTGAAATCACTAGGCTAAGTTAGTCTATCAAACTATCAAAGTCTACTCTGGCAACAGCTGTCCTGTTAACTGGCCCAAGGCCTTCCCAGGGCTTGCTGAGTGGAAACAACAGGCATAAGAATTTCTGCAAAAGGATCTGCTATTGTAACTTAGCCCTGACTTCTTTAAAAGTCTGACTTGAAGCAAAAGTTGTAGGTTTTAAAAAATGTTTGTGTTCATTACTACATCGCTCTTTCTCCAGGGAGCTTGTAGCACTTCAGGACAGATTTTTAATTTTGAATAACCCCATTGTATTGTAATATAACCAAACAAAGCCAAAAGAAATACATACACAAGTTAAATCAAAGTTCATTTGTAGAGAAAAGCTCCATAGATTAAAGTCTCTGATAGCTATCATACCTCCAAGTGCATAGCAGAAAAACACACACATGCTCTGTCTCTCTTCCTGCTTTTTTCTATATGCAGGGCATTATTTAAATCGAGAACTGTCATTTTCTAAAACACCTTTATTTTTATGCGGACCCTACTCTATCCCTTCTTTTGACTACAGCAAGCAATAAATCTCCTTATTTATTCAATCTGTACACCGTCTATTTCATATATATGATTCTGGCAGCTCTCAACAATGAAAAACAGAAAGAACCAAAAATATTTTTTAAAAGGAGCAAAGATTCAATCACATTGAAACCACTATTTAAAACCCAATTAAGATAATAAGTCAACAGGTGAATTAATGGATGTTTATCCTGCCTGGAAAAATGTTCTCTTCACAACCATCCCATGAAGGAGACCGGATTGAGAGAGAAGGACAGGCCCAATTCTTTCCAGTACATTCCATAACAGGATAATTTAAGTCTCCATCATCCTAGTCCAGGGGTCTCCAAATTTACCAACTTTAAGACTTGGCTAGCTGAGGAATTCTGGGAGTTGAAGTCCACAAGTCTTAAGGTGGCCAAGTTTGAAGGCCCCTGTCCTAATCTAAGGCCTTAACCCACTGCCTCTCAAATCTGCAAAAGCATTCAGAAAAATTCCAACTTACTCCACAAAGTAGACTTGTCCATTTTCATCTGTCTCCTGTTCCCATCCATACGGTAAGTCTAGAAGGAGAAGGAGAAGTTGCATTCAGTGCTGCAGTTTAAATCTTTCATCAGTTCAAGGAGTAGGCCTAAATTTCTTTGTTGTTTGGAACAGAGTAGGGTAAACAAGCCACAGGGTATTGGAGAACCAACAAAAACAAGAAATGTTTCCACTTGCTAACAATATAACCATTTCTGAAACTGATATTTTGTTCTGGGTACACACTAAAACAAGCCATCTGCACAAGGTTTCTAAGTCAAGCTGAGTAATCTGCAGTGCCTGAATACAACAAATCATGCAAGATGACCGTGTTTCTATGGTGGCTATAGAAGGAGAGATGATGCCATAGAAAAGCAATTTGTTTTAGCTTCAAGCTCTCCATCCTCTTGAAAATGCTGGATTCTAAGTAGCTTCTACTTGGATGTTCTACAACAGGGGGTCTTCAAACTTGGCCCTTTTATGACTTGTGGACTTCAACTCCCAGAATTCCTCAGACAGCGTGCCTGGCTGAGGAATTCTGGGAGTTGAAGTCCACAAACCATAAAAGGGCCAAGTTTGAAGACCCCTGTTCTACCAGATCTGGCCGATGCTCTCTTCCACGGGGTCTCAGAAATGATTACTCTGAGCAGAGAGGGAAGAAGGGATATTGGAATTTAAAATATGGAAATATCGCTGGTGAATTTGTTAGAGGACCTCTGCAAACTCCATTTATCCTCATTCCATTCAGAATAAATTCACATTCTACACTGTATTCCAGATCATGTGATGCAGGCAAGCATAAACACATAGATATATTGTGTTTTTTATTTATTGTAAGCTGCCTAGAGTGGCTGTGAGCAAGTAGGCGACTATATACATTTTCTAAATAAATATATATATATATATATATATATATATATATATATATATATATATATATATATATATATATATATATGTATGTATTTATTTTGAAGTGGCAGTGTTTCTTTAGTGGCCATTGGCTTTTTAGTTATTTTAAAGATCCTGGGGGGGGGGGAAGTATCACTAATGCTATCATGTTAGATGCCCAAATTCTAAAATCATACTAGTCTTTTGCATCTCTGTATCTTAAAATTTAATTCTTTTAAAGGCAACAAGAGATCTAAAATCAATACTAATTTTAGTCCACTCTAAAGCTGGATTGTAGATATTTAAAGCTAAAATGCATAAAGACCAACTTCTGAAGTGCTTATGCAGCAACACAATATTAAAATAAATCAAACCAAACAACTTGTTCTTGGTCGTACAAGAATGACTAGCAACTTTTCCATGAAGAGGGGGGTTTTCCCCCCACCCTTTGTGGAATCCCTCTCCGAGAGAGAGATGGATGGTTCAGAAAGGTTAAAAATAAAATAAATTTAACAAGCAAAGTCTGAATACAAACCTCCAGCAACTCTTTTCCGTTTCCCAGATTTTGGATGATCCCATTGAGTTCTCTCCTCCAAATGACTAAAAGAATTGGAAAACATATCCATCAAGATTTGTTCCTGTGTGTATATGCACATTCAAGTCAGTTTTAGACTAATGGCAACTGGCTGGATAAGTCCTTGAAGTTGTCTTGGCAAGGTTTTTTGCAAGTGATTTCCCACTGTCTCATTCCTGGGGCTGAGACAGGAACTGGCCCAAAATCACCCAGCTGGCTTTGTGGCTAATGCAGGTCTGAATGTTCATGGTATTTTTCCAGTCTGATGCCTTAACTACTACCCCAAACTGGCTTCCTATTGGTATTTCTACATTATAGTTAATAATTTATTTTCTCATTCTCATGATAACTCTACTAGTATCTTTTAGTTTTTTCATCTCATTCCAAGGTTTGGGTGATGGCAGGATAACTACAAACATGTCAACCCACATTCTCAAGGATATAATTTAGAAAGTTTATCACACTACCTCAAAATAAAGAAATAAAGCACATCATTTTAGACACTCCCTTTATATCGCCCTATAAAAGCAATCAATCGGCATTAACAGAGTATTACTTGCTTGACTCACAGATATATGAATTTCAGACTCAAGAAATTCAATTCAACAGTCAATCTACCCACTAAATTCCAATCCAGATCTCCAGGTACTGGGAGGGTGCCAAGAGACAATAGATTATATTATATAAAGTAGCAGCGCTGGTTCATGTCTTCCCTTCTGGCAACCAATAAAAATTGTGGTATTTGGATTTTTAGAGCAAGGGTGTCAGTTATGTTTACACAAACGGAGGTGTGATGGCCAAACTTTTAGGAATCAAAACCCAAATCATATTGATACATGACCCTGTATTCTTCTTTTTTGGGGGGAGGGGGGGCATACAGAATCTGTTAGGTCTAGGGGTCAAGGCTAAAATTCAGGAGACAATGATTTTTAGTCCCAACGTAGACATGAAAGCTGGCTGGGTGACTTTGGGCCAATCACCCGGAGACTGAGTTTTAGTCTCACTTCAGGCACAAACGCTAACTGGATGACTTTAGGTCAAACACCAGGAGATGGTGAGTTCTAGCCCCACCATAGGCATGAAAGCCAACTAGGTCAGAGGTCCCAACCTTTTGGGCACCAGGGACCAGTTCTGTGGAGAGAGGTTTTTCCGCGGACCAGAGAGTGTGAGGTTTTGTGTGCTGTCTGCATCCCACGGATGGGGCATTGCTTGTTTGTGCGGACCGGTTGCTGGCATGCCGAGGCCCAGTACTGGTCCATGGACCAGGGGTTGGGGACCTCTGAACTAGGTGATATTGGGCCATCCCTCTGTCTCAGCCCAACCTACCTCACAGGATTGTTATTGTGGGGAAAATTGGAGGAGGGAAGAGTATTAAGTACAGGTAGCTCTTGACTTACAACCACAACCTCCCCTTTTCCTCCTCCCTCCCCTCCTCCCCTTTTCCTCCTCCTCCTCCCCCTCCTCCTTTTCCTCATCCTCCCACTCCTCCCCTTTTCCTCCTCCTCCCTTTTCCTCCTCTTCCACCTCTTCCTCCCTCTCCTCCCCTTTTCCCCCTCCTCCCCTCCTCTTCCTTTTCCTCCTCCTCCCCCTCCCCTTTTCCTCCCCCTCCTCCCCTTTTCCTCCTCCTCCCCTCCTTTTCCTCCTCCTCCTCCTCCTCCCCTTTTCCTCCTCCTCCTCTTCCTCTTCCTTCTCCTCCTCCTCCCCCTCCCCTTTTCCTCCCCCTCCTCCCCTTTTTCCTCCTCCTCCCCTCCTTCCTCCTCCTCCTCCTCCTCCCCTTTTCCTCCTCCTCCTCTTCCTCTTCCTTCTCCTCCTCCTCCCCCTCCCCTTTTCCTCCCCCTCCTCCCCTTTTCCTCCTCCTCCCCTCCTTTTCCTCCTCCTCCTCCTCCCCTTTTCCTCCTCCTCCTCTTCCTCTTCCTTCTCCTCCTCCTCTCCCTCATCCTTTTCTTCATCCTCCCCCACACTGGAGCCCCCTCTGCGCCCCCACCCCGCCCCCGGGCGCCCCCCGGCTCACTTGGCGTAGTAGACCCAGCCGTCCTTGGTGGTGCGCTCCTCCCAGCCGGGCGGCAGCTCCTCCTCGCTGTCCGTGTCGTCCAGCCCGGCGAACTGCAACGCCGCCATGCCCTCAAGGCGCCCCTTGAAAAGCCAGCTGCACTCCCGCCTCGCTCAGCGGACCGGCGCAGCCCCTTCCCACAGTCCGGAAGAGCCGGCGAGCCCCCGCCAATCGCAGGCCGGCGCGGCCGCGAGGGTCGCTGGGAAATGGAGTCTCCGGCCCGCCGAAGGCACGTGGAAGCCACCCAGCTGTTGGGGAAGCGTCGCGGCTGCCGCGCGGCTCACGTGCGAGGGATGCTGGATAGGTGGAAGGACGGCAGGGTCTAAGGCGCAGGGGTCAGTGCAAATAAGCCCGGCTGGCGGAGTTTGCTCCGGGTAGTCACGCACAACGGGGTGGACGAGCTGCGGTGGCTGAGTTCTTACTATAGGCTAAGTCAGAGTTCCCACGCTATCCTGTCCACAGCCGGCTTTGGGTTTCCACGTTATCAGCCCTTCCCAAATCCCAAATCCTTTATTGTCAAAGTACAATCTATGTACGATGAGATTGGCTGAGCCTCCCTTCGTGCACCCCCCCATCACAACTCACCGTGACAACAAACACACAATCTTGTTACACCATGTGAATTTATTGCACAAGAGGTGGTCCAGACAAGAAGCACCCACCATTTACCTTTATTATAAAGTGGAAGTTAATGGACTTTTTTATATAAGTTAGAAAGCACTTTCCCCGTCCCTTCATTTTATTCTCCCGAAAACTAGAGAGCCCCGTCGGAGGCATAGTTACTAGGGAAATTAATACTAATAAAATTAATATTAATATTCCAAATGTAGTGTAAATGGTGCCAGTCACTCGCTTTAATCCAAATCTGTCTCACGGGGATGCTGTTGAGGGCTTAAAATGGGGAGAAGCACGTGTGTGAATCGGTTTGAGCAACTAGACTAGAGGAAAGGCAGGCTGCATACGATGAATAATAATTTCCTTCTTGTACCTTAAGTTCCTCTGATTTCACCGCTGAAGTTTTGTTTTACACTGACATAGCAGCACGGATGAAAATGCAGCAGCAGAAATGTCATAACGGAAGATACCACTAGATGGTGGAGCATACAAAGAAATATGGAATATCCTAGATTCACAAGATTTTATACATATAGGAAAAACAGTTTGAATCCCTTTTCAGACCATATATTTTTTATTAGAAACCAATACAAATGGACAACATGGCAGGCTTTCATATCCAGGTTGCCCTAGATCCTACGGTATGCAGAACTACCCTTGACTGCAAGAACTTAACCTTGACTAGAACAGCATAGCAAACACGCATCTTTTTGCATCAAAGTAACTTACTTCTACAAAATGGAATCAAAACAGCAACGGAAACTAGAAAGGAATTATTTACTTTGGACATTCAACTTTGTAACATTTTGCAGAAGATAGATGTCATTAGGGTAAGTAAAATGATGCAAATCCTCCCCCATATCAGAAGCATGAAATATTAAGTAACATTTGGAACAAGAGACCTGGCTTTAAATTCACCCTTGATAAAAGAGTGTCGGTATTACTTATCCAAAATATAACCCAGAGCTGTGGTTTTGAGGAATAAAATCCAGGCACCCCCAAAGCCCTGTAATTTTTCTGAAATGAATTCAAATTTATGGGTCTGGGTCTGATCTGACTAAAAACTTAATCATAATTAAGCTTGTTGATTTTGCTTGTATTTTTTCTTCTTCCTAAAATCCAAAAAAGTATAGGGGAAAAAAAGCTCTTCTCTCTTTTTTTTTGTGCAGCAAGGGGCAAGAATGCCCATAGATCTCTGCAGATAGGCTGTCGTCCTATCTGATCATTCAAACAGGGTAGCAGATAATCCATTCTGCTTAAAATCTTCAACCACTTGTTTGGAATGCTGGATTTTAGCTGCCAGGGCCTCAAAGATATCCTGTTGATCCACAGCAGTGGCCACCTTATAAATCAATTCTTCCATTGACTCCAAACCTCTCAGACCAAGATTAACTCCACAGCCTGCCACAGAGTGAGTTTAAAAAAAAAAAAAAGGAAAAAGAGAGAATTTTTGTTCTTGTTAATTTCAGAATGGACCAATGTTTCTGTCATGTTCTGGGAGATCAATAGTTATTTTCCTTAACTGGCAAGCATTGTTTTGGGTATAAACAACCAAAGATGGAAATTAATATGAGCTGTATTTATAGAGACTGGTAGGGCCATGGCTATGTAAAAAGATGGGGGGTCTCAACCCCCCCACTCAAAAGGAGTTTTTGTATAGTCCTCATTTACTGATCAGAGTTGAGATCAGCAAATAAAAGCAAACAATTCACCCTTCAAAAAAACTCCAGGAAAGAAAAATATTATACAACAAGAAAATATATTAAAAAGCAATCAAGAAAGCAAAAAAAACAACAACTCACCTCTGTGTAATTATAATTATAGTTATTCGTCTCTCATTTGATATGTCTTGAGAAGTTCCAGGGTGCTTAACCAGCTTGCTGATTAAACACCCTGAAGATAATTTCCCATCGCACTCAGATCAGGCCGGGAGGATATGTTGCAGAGCCCATCAGTTAAAAATTCTGATTGGCAGGGTGCAGGAAGAAGGCCTTTTGCAAATTAACCTGCCCTGTGGAACATTCCCCCCACAAAGGTAAGGCAGGCCCACATTCTTCTGTGCTCTCAGAAATATCTAAATAACATGGCTTTGCCATCTTCCTTGGGGCTCATAGAGAACCATGGAGCCCTGGAGTTCATAGAGGACCATGGGCCTCCCTCCTGCCTGTTTAGCTTTGAATTTTAACTACCTTTGCCTCTTAATATAATTTATATTCTATAGGAGAAGGACTGGCAGAACCAGGGGGCGGCGTTAAAAGAGGGATTAGTGTAGAATCCCTACATAGCCACAAACAAACTAAATCCAACTTCCTTTGAATTCCATTGACCTTTATCTGACTCCTAGCAGGTACTAACCATTAGTTGATTCCTATGCTTTTGTGTTTTTTTTTAAAGCAATAAATCAGTTCAATTGGACTTTCATCTGTGGACCTGATCTTTGTACCAAACATAGCTTCAGTGTTTTACTCGTATGCCACCTAGAGATGCTCTGTAAGGGAGAGATATTTTTTTTAAAATTTGATGTATAAATAAATATATAATCCCCTGGTTATTAGAAAATCTGACCTGTGTCAAAATTCAGCATTCTGGCTGCTTCCCCTTCAACAGTGACCACAATATTGTCGTCAGCAAGGAGAGCGGTTGTCACCCGTCGATGGGACAGCATAATTTCAAAGAGTCGGTGACTGCACCGGATACAGTGGAGCATCGGTTCCCCAATTCGTGGCTCAATGTCCATCTTATAAGCGTTGAAAGACTGCTGGAAGATACTTTTCATTATCTGTTAGCAAGAGAAACCAGGCCCAAAAGCATAAGTGCGCTGACGGCAGCCAAATTTTCTGAAATGATTTCCCTTAGATGCAAAACCCAACACACTTGTGTGGGGTGTGCCCAAAAGGTTGATCATGGATTCAGGTTGACTTCTTTACAGAAGGCAGTGTTTGTCCCACCATCACGAGACATGTTAAAGAAATCAGGGTATTACAGTTGACAAAACACAAATGCAGCAAGCGTGCTCAACCATGTATATTGAATATATCAAAAAGGATCAAAATCAAGTTTTCTGATGTGCAGGCAGAGGGATCCTATACCTACTCATAACAGAGATGTTTCATATAGATTCACGTTGTTAAATATTGTGATTACATAGCAATTCAAGCAAGAGTTTGCAGGAAGATGCTGTTTCTACTTGCCTTCAGCTGTTGACCTTAGAAATAGCTCTCTTTTCATTTGTTTGTAAAACCTGGAATTTTGTATATTCAAGTAAAACCATTTCCTATGTTTAATTGGTGCCTTTGGGCTTTAAAATAGGGACACCCAGTGCATAAAGGAGCCTTTAGATAGTTCCATCTCCATGCTTATACTGCCAAAACACAGAGACAAAATTACTCATTTTCAGTGGTGCCATTATATGCTGTTTTTCAGTCTAAGGAAGCACAAACATATTACTTTACTAATGTGAGTACAAACAACTTTTCTCTTCTAAGAAGGATCAAAAACTCCAGCCCCATCTCTCCAAGGGATAGCATTGATTCACTCTCAATATCAATTAAAAAGGGGTAGCCCCCCCAAATGGAAAACACTGAGTTTCTGGAAACCAGTTACGTATCTGAAGCTGCTATGATTCATTTGGAGCAATGAATACAGCCGGTAGTCTAATAACAGAGCATAAACATTCAAGATGACTCATTCACTGTATCTACAACATTGCCTCCCTTGCATGGAAAGAAATCAGTTCAAAAGACGGATCGTTTTGGATCAAACATTTATATCAGAGATGAAGAATAGAATGCTAAGACAAAATAATAGATAGGATCAGGACAAAAACATGTTGTACCCTTTGTGTTCAAATTCAAATTCAAACTCAAATTTAAATTAATTTCATTTAAACAATCAAGTCTTTATTACAGCCATCGACCAGAACACATTTAAACTGTTAAATGTCAATGACTGTAATAAAGATCTGAATGATTGATATTTAAGTAATCATAAATTATATAGTCATATGATTATCCTGTCATGAGCTTAACAACTTTCCCAGGAGAAAAGTATATACAATTCCTAGTACAAGATCCACACCTATTAAGGACAGGTGAAATGTCAACATTTTACACCAAAATATGCTTAATACACGTAGCTATTCACTAAATATTTGCTACAATTTCTTTTATGGGCTTTATGCTGGCCAATAATTGTAATAAATATAGTATATATCTATTTATTACATATATTAGTCCCTTGTTGAACCATTTAAACAGTCCAGTTGCAACAGTCCACTCTACAAGTGTCTGGTGCATGTATTTGTAGGCTTAGTAGGGAGGGAAGCATCTACTAAATAAGCACCTTTGATTTAGATAAACCAACAGAAAACATATTTCTGATTGGTGTGGTTTGAAACTAACTTCCAAATGGACAGAATGAAGTAACAGCCTCTCTTCTATTTCACTGGTGCTGAAAGTAGAACAGTTGCACTAAATACTCACGGTAGAATTGAGTGTATGATGCAGGAACCTTATAATTTTGGAGTCAGAAGCAGGGCAAGCCAAAGCCAAACAACGATTGCGGAATGTACCATAGATTTTGAGATGGAACGCAGTTTTGGGAAATTCGGTTTTTGTGGTTAATTTATCCATGCCATAAGCAGACAGATCAAAGTACAAATTATGAGCACGAATCTCTGGAGTGGGCACCTATGGGTTTCAGAAAGGAAGAGGAGAAAAAGAAGTCAGTTACATGCTTGTTAATAAATTTAATAAATATACAATTCAAGATGTTACTACATTTAAGGAGGGGTCACTGCCCCAAATACGATTTTGTTCACAGATGGCAGAAGGGAAGAAATAGTTTTGTTTTTGTTTTGTTTTGTTTTTTTAAAGCAAATCTGGGAAAATCAACCAAAGCCACTGCTGGCATAACTGAGAGAATTTAAAAAAAAAAAAACATTAAAATTTAAAGAGTTTGCTAGATGTATTTTGGGTCAGATGGTAGAGTATTGCCTTTTTCCAAGTTATTATAGCCTCATTTTACAAAGAGAATAGTGAGCATTTATTAAATGAATAAAAGACCCCATTCTAGCTAGTGCTGTCTTACTAGGGTCTTACCACCTGCTGTCTGAACTTTTAAAGATATTGATTGATACTGATATTGAAGTTGAGAAGTTTTTATGTACAAAGTAGTTTTGTTTTTTTTATGTACAAAGTAGTTTTGTTTTTTTGTCCACCTTTTGTATCTGGACACTATCTATGTGAATCTATTCAAATCAACTCCAGTCTGAAGGAGCTACAAGTGCCCAAGTATAATTTTCTGAAATATGATTCAGAATAAAGCCACAATAATAATTTGCTATTTCCAAGAAAGCAGGAACAGAACTATTTAGGTTACAATTACAAGGAAGAAAGTCCAGATTTGACATTAGGAAAATCATAATTGTACCAGCTGTCATCCAGTGCCACAAACTGCCACCAATGTGGTGAGAAATGTTTTAATTAAAAACATTTCAATTAAACGTTTTAATGGATACCGCTCTGCATTGCAAAGCACTGGAGCTGATGATCCATAGGGTGCTATCCAATTCTATAATTCTGGTTCTACTTCAAATTTGAACCAGATTTGAACCAATTTATACCACCCCTATAGAAGCGATTAAAGGACCATTGCCTTGTTTATGATTACCTGCCGTTGATCAGATCTCCCAATGACTGCATTAGCTCCATAAGCATTGCAAGATTCCACCATATATTCCTGGTTGATTCCAAGGATCCCACTTGATTCACCACAGGTTCCATCCGCTAAGACAATGATCTTTGGCCAATCAGAGGCTAAATTGTTTTTTAGAAATTCATCTGAGAACTAAGGAAGAAATGGAAAGACAAAGATAGACCCACATCTCACATATAATCCCCAAGACTATAGTTTGGGAATAGGGTTCTGTCTTGTCAAGATGTGAACACAAACAACAAATCAACCCAATGGGGGAAAAAATCCCTATCTTTTCAAAACCCCTCCACTAGAAGTGGAAAAATCAGATTTCTCCAACATAGTATGCTATTTTTCTTCTCACACAGCATTCTATACAACAATTATAGGAAACACTTTTTATAACTGGTTCTTATAGTCAACTTTAATTATAAGCCAACAAAGCTTTCCTTAGAATATGTGTGTGCTTTAATTTTAGCCAAATGTCCTTTGTTTGGTTTTGTTTATGGGGCCATTTATCTGTCTAAATATGTACAATAATAATTAACCGTTCCGTTTTATAGATTGTCTCAATACCAGATTATTATTACCTAATCATAAAAATCTCCCTAGACCTGTCAATTTTATGCATGATAAAGCAAGCTAGTTGTCGTATCCTGGATGTACTTTTGAATGAATCTGAGTTAATTCATGAAGAGAGAATCATGTATGTTATGCTTATTTTGATTTTTAAAAGTGCACAGAATTTGTTTAGGTTTAGGAAGAATAAACATATTGTTTAATTAAATTAAGCATACATGTTTATTTCTGTAAACTTTCTAAAATGTACTGTAGCCTTTTTATATTTTTCAGCTGCAACATCCAAACTCTTCTTCCAAAAACAAATGCATAAGCATGTCTCCTTCCTCAAAAGGTGATTTACACTGAGAGAGAATAACAGCAGATCCCAGTAAATATTGTGAAACTTTTTAACCTCTAAGCCAGCAAGGTCAGTGATTTGCTGGGCTGAGGGCATTAAACTGAAGAACGTTAGTCAAAAGCTATACAATACAATACAATATCTTTTCTCAACCCCCACCCCCCAAATAGGGATCGACAACTGGGGTCACTGAGTTCTTGTTTTGAGGCCCCTCAGCCAACAGCATATGATACATGTTCATCTTCTTTGCAGTTTCTCCAAGCATCATCCCCTTCCTGTTGATGTGCAGCCCTCGGCCGCCAAGAAGTTGACCTCCTACAGGGTCTCTGCAATGACTGGCCATTAAACTGATCTATCTTTTACAAACAAGGCGGAGAAAGACATGCCTAAATGCTCAGAGACATTTCTTCTATCTTCGTCTGGATTGACTCCTCACCCTCGCTCACCTTGGTGCCCAGCAAGATCCGGAGAGCCAGTTGCCTCGTGTGCTGCTCCAGAACGCTGAGCAGATGCTCCTGGAAGACGCCCACCTTGGTGAAGAAATGTCCCTTGTTGTCCCAGCAGCCTTCCAAGCTGTCGAAGTCCACCCCCAGCCCCAGCAGGAATCGGATGCTGCTGGGGTCGAGCGCGATCTGCTGGGGCCGGCAGAGGAGGGCGGCGCGGGGGCGCGCGTCCAGCAGCGTCAGCTTCAGCACCTTGGCCGAGCGGACAGCAACTAGGGCGGCCGTCAGTCCCACCGGGCCGGCACCCACCACCAACACCGAGACCTTCGCTCTGCTCCGGCGCAGGGCATCCACACTCAGCTTCACCGCCACGAATAACGCCAGGGCCAGTAGCGTACTCAACCCGACCTCTGCCGACAGATGCTCCAACTCCAGCCGGGAAGACCCGGACAGGGCCTCTGAAGTCTCCGGGACGTCGCCCTCCATTTCCAACTGAGTCCTGGGCTACTCCAGCTGGCCAGATTTTAACATCTGTTGAGCTTACCTTATCATTGCTCCTTTGAGGAAGGTTTGCAAAACTCGACTTTGTAGCAGGTTAAGGAGCCGTCTACCAGTTAGATCTTCTAGAAAAGGGAATAGATAGGGAGATCCAAACGCACACTACTCCTGACCTGGCTACTGAACTGACTCATGTTCTGGGCTCACCTCATACAATAAGTTGTAAATTAACCTTATCAGTTGGCTTCACACCACACAGTAAGTGATAAAGAAACTAAACAAGCTTAAAATGAACCCAGCTGAGCCAACTTTGCCAAAGCAGCCTTCATATCATTAACTAACCCGCTTAAGCATAATGTGCAAACACAGACCTATAGACCTAATCAGTCTGCTTTAACTCATCAAGTACAACATTCCAGTTGGCTTCACACAACATTCTAGATTAGGTCAAAATGAGATTTTGTAGTTCGTGACATAGCACATTGTGGTACAAGCCTTATCTCTGCACTTGATTAAGCCCAGCCATCACCGTTAAGACATCTTATGAAATTCTGAGTGCAATGTAACACCATGCCACACCAACTCATGGTTACAGCATTGGTTTTTTACCAAGATATTAGGACAGAATAAAGTGGAATGGAACAAAATAGAATTAGATTAACTGGAGCTTGCTGCAAGATATCCTGCAGATATGGTTAAGGTGAAGGGATTTTAGGGAATAAAGCAAGATTGACATTGAAATTTATGTTATATAATTTCAATTTATTGATTTAATAAATGTGTGTGTGTGTGAGAGTGAGTGTGAAAAGAAAAAGAGAGAGAGAGCGAGAAAGAGAGAGCAAAGGGGTTTGGGTTTTTGTTTGATCATTTTACTGTTTCATGGCTACGGGTTTTACTGTGATTGTGAGAAATCCAGAATATTTAAGATGGACAACAATATATATCTTTTAAATAAAAAAAAAAAAAGTAAACTTACAACCAATATTTAGAGCTGTTAAAAATAACTTTATTAAATGTTATGAAGTTTAGAGAGAAAGATCTATCTGTGCTAGTAGTGAAGCATGTTAGGAGGTTACATTTTATAGGGGAGGTTGTCCAGCTCTATGCTTATCTATTGATTGACAGCTATACAGTATGACAAGATTTATTTTTGTCCTTCTCCTACAATAATTTTAAACATTCATTTCTATAGGTGAAGATCCATTTCAATAATTAGAAATCTTTCCCTGGTTCAAATATAACAAGAAGATAAAGACCCTAAACCTGGACTTTAAAAGTAAGATACTCTACAAAAGTTATTCTGTCCTCTAAAAGACAATGAAATATTTCAATCTCCATTAGATCGATGGGATGGTGAGTGCATCAAATCAAAGTGTTTAACCAAGATATGAATTCATTTCCCAAGAAGTAGTGTGGTCAATCAAGATTCAGATAAAGAACCAGATTGTAAAATTTGAGCTGGAGTAGAGAAGAGAGATCAAGTTACTAGCAAAAGTTAGAATGAATCAGAAGCAAAATAATGTAATGAGAAGACCATTCTCTAGAAGTAGAATGTATCTTATTGGTTTAACTAAACAAAGCTGAATGTGTCTCACTGTAACTAGACTAGGGATCTTAGGAACAAGTCTGCTACAATTCAAGGCCCATTAAATCCATGTTCAAACAGCATGCTAATTTCAATAAAACTCCAGAAACTGCAAGTCATCTGCCTATCTGTGATCATTCCACTTCCCCCCCCCCCACAACTAGTGGCTGAATGAGCAGCTAAGGACTTTACTCCACTCCCACGATTGTAATAGATATTTTCCTCAAGGTTGGCAAGTCTTGCGAACTGTCATTTCAGCACACCTTCCTACGGCCATCGTTGGAAAGAGGACTTAAGGGATCAGGAATTCACAGACATAACGTTTAACAGCGCGACAGACCTCATCCACCCATTTTCCTTGACCTGGCTGAGAAAATAAGACACAGTTCTCACGCTTCCCCCCGTTGGGTTGCGAACGGTCCCAGTTGAAGTAGTTCAGGACCATTCCGTTGACATCCACAAATTTGCCCTCATTTACCATGTCAGTAACCCCAAGCCAAAAGTCTGCTACCCCTGGCAAGCTTTTCTTGCTGTACTCTCTCAGGGCTGTGGTTTCATCTCCATCTCTGGGAATAGCCAGGGTCCCGCCTTTGGCTATGCAATCTTCGTTTGCTTCATGGAAATGTTTTGCACCTTCAGACACCAGGTAGCATTTCTTATGGATCTTCGTTCCACGAAGGCAGACTGTGAATGGAATGAAAAGCACACAAGGAGTGGAGGAAGCCCTCAACTTAATAATAATATTAATGATAAAGTTGGAAGGGACCTTGGAAGTCATCTAGTCCAACCCCCTGCTCAGGCAGGAAACCCTATACCATTTCGGACAAATGGCTGTCCAGTCCCTTCTTAAGAACTTCCAATGTCGGAGCATTCACCGCTTCTGCAGGCAGGTTGTTCCACTAGTTAATTGTTCTAACTGTTAGGAAGTTTCTCCTTAGTTCTAGGTTGCTTCTCTCTTTGGTTAGTTTCCACCCATTGCTTCTTGTCCTGCCTTCAGGTGCTTTGGAAAATAGTTTGACTCCCTCTTCTTTGTGGCAGCCCCTGAGATATTGGAACACTGCTATCCTGTCCCCCCTCGTCCTTCTCTTCATTAAACTAGACACACCCAATTCCTGCAACCGTTCCTCAAATGTTTTAGCCTCCAGTCCCCTATCATCTTTGTTGCTCTTCTCTGTACTCTTTCTAGAGTCTCAACATCTTTTTATGTCGTGGTGACCAAAACTGGATGCAATATTCCAAGTGTGGCCTTATCAAGGCATTGTAAACTGTGATTGCTAAGCAAAGTGGTTGTTTAGCGAGTCATGCCCAATTTTACAAATATGTAGCCTTTTTTGGATAAAGGGCATATTTTTGCCCATTTTAAAGCTGCCCAGGAGAGCAACATCCCTATCCTTTTTTCTTTAGCCCACGGTAATCAAAAAGTGCTTCCTTTGAGCTCCTCCAAATCTCCTTCATTTTGGCTTCATCAGATATCTGGGGTTAAAATTGCACGATAAAAAAATGTTTTCCATTATCCTGACTATACTTTTTATACAAGTTTTATTTAAGTCACTTCCCTCTCTCAAGTTAACAACAAGACTCCCTAGTTGCAATCTGACCTCTAATCCCTTGAACATTTTAATTACTCTTCCATCACCATGGTAAAAGATGGTTATCTCACAATCATCATAGAGAAAAAGGAAAATCCAATTGAACCATTCAGAAAAATCAGTTAAACCGTTCAAGAAAAGTACTGCTTAGTCTCTTTTTTAAAACATTCAGAGATGGACAACCCATAACTCCGGGGATAGACTGTTCCCATTGTTTGACAAAACTTATTTTAAGGAAATTTTTTCCTGATTATTTCACTAGTTACTGGCTCCATTAACAAATGGAATTTAACCATAGTTAAAAGACTTAACAGTTTCATTCACAACATGTTTACTTTGGAAGGTCAATTTCAATTAGGATTTTTTGGCTTGGGATACTAGGTCAACCCAAGCTGTTGGTTTACTTTATGCTTCAACGGACAGTATGAACTCAGGAAATAAATGAGTTCAATATTCACTTTTAGTGTATTATGTGAACAGAGTAATACTTATCCTCTGTTTACCAGGATGGAAGATGGATGACCTTGTGAGGAAGGAAGGGAAAACGCATGAAGGCATCATTAATGACTACAGCAGGATGCTATATATTCCCCCAAATTATCTTCTCTTTTTTCCCAAGGGAGTGAACATATTTCCAAATAAATCTTGGCTATATCTTGCTTTTTAAAAAGAGTGCAGATAGACATGATAGACCCAGAGATATTCTTAGAAGTTAAACAGGATACTGGAGAAACCAGAAGTACATTTGAGCATCAAAGATGGATGTTCTGGGGGGTGCTGGCACCATCTTGCCTAAGTCTGCAAAACATAGGTTTTATCTATTGACTCTCAATCTTTTAACCTTCTGTAAATCTTTTTTTTTTAAAAAAAAATCTGTAAATCTACAGAACTATGTTATTCTTCTATTAGAAAATTTGGTCTTGAGGGCAGTATAGAATGGGTGGAGGAGATAAAAGCAACTTGGGAGTGTTATTTGCACTATTTCAGCTTGGGGGAAAAAACCCCAGCCCCTTCTAGTACACCTCACTGAATTGACAGTATACCGCAAAAGAAAAGAAGTGTCTTATATTGACATTAGAGCGGGCAGAACTAGCAGCAAATACGAGTCTCCTTGGCTGTTCATGGAAGGTAAGATCTGTAGCTTCCATTGATTTTAGTCTTGCAAGCTGCCAAAGTAAAGTCAGTTCAGTGCTCAGCAAATAATTCCCAGACCAGGGATTTTTAAAGGGTATTTTAAATCACCTTTCAGCATCCCACAGTATGAATAGCTTTTAGTGCAACAAGAAATGAAATCATATTTGCCATAGTCTCCTCCCCTCCCCCATATTAAAACTCTAATTAAGGGCAGGTAGCAACTGAAAAAAAAAATAGATCGGGGAGAAGGATACATCTAGCAGACTTTTCTGGAGGTAAAAGAAAACCACACCAAAACTTACCTGTTTGTAAGGCTTGCATTTCTTTCAGCGAATTTACCTCTTTCCAAAGCTTGTCAATTTGACTCCTAAGGTCACCATTTTTCTCTTAAATAGGTAGAAATTTAGAGTTTAGTACATTTATTAACACTGAAATATTAATATTGTTTGAATACAGTTACTGTATATTATTTTGGTAGGCACACTTATGATTATACTTTTGATATTCTTCATTGTATGCAAGAGTAGAAACCATAGTAATATAATCCTAAAAAAGTTTTTTAAAGTTGCAGAGTGATGCAGCATGATGAGTGTGTGCATGCTCTTAAATACCGTATCTTTTTATGGTTAGACCATCGTACAATAATAAAACAATTCTGTAGATAATCACCTACTACCTACTACAAATATTATTCAAGTGTGTTTTTGTATGTGTGTATGGAATATATGTGTATGTATCTATATCTATATCTATATTTATATGCTGCCCTGAGTCCTTTGGGATTGGGCGGCATATAAATACTGAAAATAAATATATCTATATCTATATCTATATCTATATCTATATCTATATCTATATCTATATCTATATCTATATCTATATCTATCTATCTATCTATCTATCTATCTATCTATCTATCTATATAGATAAATAGCTAGCTAGCTAGAGATAGAGATATAGAGATAGAGATATATGCAAACACACACACACATAATATAAATGAGGAGATATATATATATATATACGAGCTTGGTAATTATAATTTATATGACTATCATACTTTTTTTAATCTACTGCACTTTGTACAAATGAGTCCCCTATTTCCTTAAATTTATCCATACAAAATCTACATTTATAGGCCATCCACTCCTAAGAAAAAAGCACGATCAGGTCTTCAACCCATTGAGTAAATGAGGCCATATATTTATCTTTCCAATATCCGTAATATCTGTCTTTTAGCTATAATAGGGACACAGAAAATCCATTTATATTGTCCAGTTCTCAGATTTCCTGTCTTAGGTGTATAAAAAAAAAAATATTATCCTCTGAAAAGTTTTGCCTTTTGGCTCCATCAGTTACCTTTTGCTCTCTGCTTGGCGGGCTTCTTTGTCTTGAAGGAAGAAGCTTGGCCAGCCACTACATCCAGCAAAACTAGGACTATGAAAAGGAAAATCAGGCAGCCTCCAAGCTTCATGTCTCTTCAGACGGTGAGCAAGAAAAAGCCAGTTACCAATTCAGAGAGTTCACATCCCAGCAGAACTGCCTGTGGCTACCTTTATAAAAAAAAGGGCAGTGAGGAATTGGCTCTGCTTCTTGTTTATGAAATGAGTAATTTCATAAATGTCTCATCGGGCTTCACCATGAAGTGCCCTGTTGTTCTCAGAACTACGAACACCTCCGATTCCCATTTCCGGTCAGGTCTGGACATTCAGTACATCTGGGTTCTTAACCCAAGACTAACTTGCAGCTTTGGAAGAAATGAGTAGTGATAAATAGTCCCCTGGAGAGCTACTTTTATTACAGGTGGCTGCCAATTGGACTCCTTGGGCCAAACGCAGCCATTGGCTAAATTTCATAGGAACCTCAACTTGAGTTCAAAAGGCTTAGCAAGCTGGCCATGCATAATCACCCCTATTCTCAACAACTTGCCATATACAAGGAAGAAAGAGGCAATTATCTAAGTCTGGAATATCTTACCTGATTTAGTTGTCCCGGCCATCAACTTTCACAGTTTTAATTCTAACTTGACTTCTGGGGGCCTCACTCCAGATTTAAGAGGTGGGCATGGTTAAGTGCACTTGGGTGCCTATCATACCTGTCACATTTTGATATATTTTTTTTGGTTTGCTCAAATTTGTAATTTTTGTTTGATGAATAAAATGTAAAAAAAAAAGGATCTTGAGGAGAGGAGACAGGTGGGAAGCAAAATTTGTGTGCCCAAAAGAGAGGTGAACATTTTATATATAGATGTATATGTGGACATAAACAGATAAACATATATAGAAATATGGCCTCCATCTATAGAAATTTGTCTTGCAGATTCCATTATTTATTCATTCATTCATTTATTTATTTATGAGACTTATATACTGCTTTAAGTGCAAGCACTCTCTAAGCGGTGTACACCAGTAAGCAATGTATATATATATTTACATTGCCCCCAACAATCTGGGTCCTCATTTTACCTGCCCCGGAAGGATGGAAGGCTGAGTCAACCTTGAGCCGGTGAGATTTGAACCGCTGACCTGCTGAACACAGTCAGCTAAAGTGGCCTGCAGTACTGCACTCTAACTGCTGCACCACCTCGGTTCTTATTATATTGATTTAGAACCGAAGATACTGAGGTGCATCCAAATTGTCTAATAAATCTGACTCCTAGCAACCTCATTTGTGTCTTGGAAAAAATACGGAAGCGGTTCAACATAACCTTGGAATTTCCTGGTGGTCTCATATCCACCAATTAGCCAAGTTTAATCCTTGCTTAAAATAGGATTGTCCCAGTTTGAAATCCTTCAAAACCAGAGAGGGAGAGAGAAAGAGACTTGTAAGCCATTTTTATTGCTTTAATATTTTAATTTTAATTAGTATTAAGCTTCTTGCACTGTTACCAGTCCCATGTACTTATTATACGTAGAGTGGAAACTTCAGAATGCCATTTAAAGTACAGTCACTAACTTTTCTGGATTAAAAATAGTTAGAAAGGCTAGGAAAAAAATAAGTTTGAAAATACTTCTTGATGTCAGAATATAATCAGGATGGCTGCCAATTGAAGTGACAGTCTAAACAGAAATGGGATGAAGAGCTTGGCCAAGTCTTCGGTGCCAAAATAACAACTTGAGAAGCAAATAAACAAGTCTGAATCCTGAAGGTTTGGGTGCAAAGTGTTCCTTGGATGGTAGCAAGAAATGACCAACACCACATTTGCAGCCCGCTCAAAAGATATAAAGATATTCTGAACATTGAAAACCAGCTGCAGAATTTTGAAGTCAAGAACCAACATATGATGCCAATGAAAGTCATCTATTATAATACATAAAATCATCAACATTTTAAAAAATATATCAACATTTCTTTCCCCCACCTTATTATAATGCCATAAGTCTTAATACAATGTATTATTTCAGGGCAGATTTTAATGCAGTAATCTTTATGCAATGTAATTTTAAAATGTTACACATACTGCTATCTAGAAAACTTAAAAGTATTGAAAATAAAAAGGGAAAAATAGAAGTCCTGACAATTTAGGATTTCAGTGTTTACAAACATAAAATTATTTGACATTTTAAGTTAAGTATAACAGAAAAGAACCGCCACAATTCACACTGAAGTATTAATTATACCTATCTATTCATCATATTTATATGTCCCTCCATTTCACAAAATATTAATATAATAACAGTCTCAGTCTTAACATAAGTACTTAATATTAAAGATCTCCATTGTGGAGCTACTTAGTGTGTGTATGTGTGTTGATAAAAGGAAATCAGACAGATGAGGCAAATGTAATAAAAAATAAGTAAAAAGTAGAAAAAGGGAGGAAAGGGAAATACATTTCCTATTTTGCAATAGTTGTAAGTATATGCATTTAATAAATAAATAAATTATAAATTTTGCCTCCCTTAAAAGCCAGCAACCTTTCTCTATTATGCAAAGCAGACTCTTATAACAGGGGGGCTTACAAGAGCAAAGGAATGACTGTGCCATTTTTGTTTGTATCATTGTTGCCTTTTCAAATAATGCAGAGGTGGAAGTGATTTATTTGGGTACAAGTAGCCCATTTTCAAATCTTCCTTCGGATCTGAATTTCCTTGCATTAACTTACCCAGTTCCAAGGTTCATAAAAAAAACTTGGTAGGACCTTTCCAGATTAACAAAAGGTATTAAACAGCATAGACCTTCATGAACTTTTGTTAGTCTGAAAAGATGCTACCAAACGTTTTTTCATGATTGGCTATTATGGTCTAGCACAGCTGTCTTCCCCTATTAGCCAGATCCATCTCTCTCTTGCCCACATATGGTACCTAATATGGCATTTCATAGTGAGATAGGAGGATCACTTGCCCTACATGCTCTCTACGGCTATTCTATTTACATTGTGCTGATTCTCATTCAACAGTCGCCGTGCAGTTTATCCTCAAGATGGCAGCATTGGAATAATCTGATAAGAATGTATATACTGGAATGTCACGTCAAATCCAATATTTGTTTGTTTTTAATTGTATTATAAATAAAATTTGTAAAAAAAAAAGATGGCAGCATTTGAAAATGCTTCTTTAAAAAGAAGGCAAACAGGTTATGTTTTTAGTCAACATCTGTTAAGGATTTAGTTGCATTTCAAATGTGAACCCCAAACTTTTCTTCTTTTTTTTTTTTTCAGTTCTGAAAACCTGGAAGCACTGGTAGTTCTGAAACCTAGAAATGTTTGCAGTCTCAGTGCAAGACACTGCCTTGATTTGTAAATAGAGCAATGTCTTAAATGCTGTGACATAACTGGCTTTTGAGTGGATGCCATTTCAGACAAATGACTGTCCAGTCTGTTCTTAAAAGCTTCCGGTGTTGGAGCATTCACAGATTCTGGAGGCAGTTTGTTCCAGTGGTTAATTATTTTAACTCTCAGAAAGTTTACCTTAGTTAGAGGTTGCTTCTCTCTTTGATTAGTTTCCATCCGTTGCTTCTTGTCCTGCCTTCAGGCGCTTTGGAGAATAGCTTGACTCCCTCTTCTTTGGGGCAGCCCCTGAGATATTGGAAGACTGCTATCATGTCCCCCCCTTGTCCTTCTCTTCGTTAAACTAGACATACCCAATTCTAGTAACCGTTCCTTGTATGTTTTAGCCTCCAGTCCCCTAATCATCTTTGTTGCTCTTCTCAGTACTCTTTCTAGAGTCTCAACATCTTTTTTTACATTGTGGAGACCAAAACGGGATGCAGTATTCTTGCTTGATCAGGGTTGGACTAGAAGACCTCCGAGGTCCTCTGCAACTCTATTATTCTGTATTTCATTTCCTACCACACTTGCTTTTACAAGTTGCTTTCATTACCCCATAGAAATCAGAGGTGGGGTACTTTCACAACCTGAACAAAAATGGAAAACAATGGGTTTACGTTGTTACAATTTCAAATGCTTTAAATATCTGGACAAGTTCCAGTCAAAGTTAAACACTTTAAAGGTCTGTTATCAAAGAGCAATAACAATGAAGAGTAATAACAAGGCATCTGTAATAAGCCAAAGACTTGCTTACAATAGCTACCTTGACTGATCTCCTAAATGTAAGATCAGCTCTGGTTAACAGTCATATACCGATAGATGACCGTGAGGAAATTCCTCCAAGTCTAAATAATCAGAGTTTGGAGGGTCTCAGACTTGAGTCTTAAGTGGAAATAAGATTTGAACTAAATCCAAATATTTATTTGCTTCTTCCTGGAACTTCATAGGCATATTGGAACATTCATCCTCTGGGGCTGTTTTATGGTTCAGAATATAAAACTGGAGCTAGAATAACCTGTGCTTCATGCAGTCTCCCAAAATTGGAGCAATAACTCTTGAAGTCCTCCAAACATTAGTTATGTATAATTGATAAAGCTGCAGAAGGAGAAATTAATGAAATATATGATTGATCGCAATGTCATTAACTCTTGTCTAATTTTAATAAAATGCAAATAGAAATTTATTTATCTTCTTGGCTTAGCTGACTACTTTACATGATATCTGAGGGGCTGAGCTCCAGAAAGTGCAACCATTAGCTTAATGCAGGGCTCTTCAAACTTGGCCCTTTTATGACTTGTGGACTTCAACTCCCAGAATTCATCAGCCAGGCAAGCCCCTGGCTTAATATGTCCATCTTTGGTTTGCTGCAATGGATAACCCCAATCATAAGACTATGGCTGTAACCATTCTTAACCACATCAGATAAAGATCTAGCAGTTGCATTCATAGGCCCGGATTAAACTAGATTAGCTTTCTCCTTAGCAGTTGTGTATGCAGTTAAACCTGGCTGCCCACGGTTCTCATTCACAGTAGAATATATTCTGTGACCCTGATAATGGGCTAATTCAGTATTCATGCTAAACAATTTGGTGGCTCAGAGGGAATGGAGAAACTTTACCCTTTCAGATCCTTCCTGCCCATTTTAAGCAATCAGCCAATTATTTTGTTTCCATGGTAATGTATTGCTGGCTATTATGCCTGGTCAAAGCTATTAAGGGAGTCTTCCTAAAGAAAGAGAGGAGGGAATTTC